AGATATGGTTCGTGGTTCTCATTAGAGATTACAAGTAACTTTTGTTCTATTATAATTATTTTAGAATTTTAACATAGTTATACAATATATTACATAGTAATAACAAGGTATGATTTTTAAAATGATAACATTTTAATAGAAGACAAGACAAGAAAAACAACCACTTACGAATATTGAGAATAAAAAGAATAGAAAAAAAAAAGGTTACGTAAAGATATTCCATTGTTCTGTTATTTCTGAAATTAAACATTGTTATTTATTGAAGCATCCATTAAAAATAAAAATAAAAAGTAAGTCTCTTTTTTCTTTATATTAACATAAAAGAATTCTCTTTGTTTTTTATAATATTCTAAAACATTTTTATGCACATTATTATCATAATTCTATATATATATATATGTATATCGGCAAGTGATAAATATTCTTCCAGTTAGATTAGAAAGCAGTGTTGACATAGAGAAATGATACTATTATCTTACTCTTTTGCAGTCTGATATTTGCGTATACGAAAAAAACTAATAGACCTTTTCCGATCCCGTCGTCGTCATTGTTGTTGTTGTTGTTGTTGTTGTATAGAAAACCTATGTGCTCAATATGGTGATCGATATCTATCATTTATATTTGCGTTCTTTATAAATATTACAAACACATTGAAAAGGTTTCAGAAAATATATACACACAGATGTCTATGTGTGTGTTTAATCTTATATCTGATTCGGGTTATTCAGCAGAAAAATTTTTTTAAAGGCTTCTCTTCTAGAATTACACTTCATAGCATACATAATAGATAAACAAGACATCTTGCTTGAAGACAAAGCATAAGGATCTTATTACTTAGATAAACGAGAGACCATTGATACTTTGTCATTTTATATGGTTGGACGAAGTTTAATAAATTTTTTGTCATGTTCCAAGAATTATTATCATGTTTTAATCAGTATTCTTTTTTTTTTTTTTGCTTTTGCATTTCTCGTGTAGAACACGGAACAAGAGAGACAACATGTCAACTAATAAATCTATTCTATTGAAGCATAGTTATAATAAATTGGTTCAACACAACATGACAGTGATAGCGACAAGTTTCTTTTCTCACCCGCCTTCATTCTTTCCTACTTGCAGTTCATCAACATTATTGACAACGACAGAGAAAAAGAAAAAGTCCACTTATTGTTTGTTATTCATTCAACTCTCAGTGGTTGTGCTTCGTTGATTGCGTCTGTCTTCTGTGTGCTCACTTATCAATAGTGCGTTTCGCAGCATATTCAAATGTATTCGGATGTATATTGCGCATGCATAGTCAATTTATAAGAATAGATGTTTCAATGACAGGGGTGAAAAAAAAGAGAGTGGGTGACAAAGATAGTAACATATGCTTGTTTTGTTGCATTGATAATAATAATGATAATGATGATGATGATGTTCTGATTCCGTCTTTTTTCCGTTACATTAGTTGAAAATAATTCGTTGGCCCGCTGTGTTCTACACTCTATTGCTTCTTTCTTCATCGTTCTCTGTATGTTCTAACTTTACACACTAGACCTTAATATAGATAACAAACGAAGCCTAGACACGTCTCATCCGACAAAGCACAGCAAAAAAAAAAAAAAAAAAAAAAAAGAAGTTGCAAACATTATTTGAACGTGAGCTTTCTCTCTCTCTGTGTGTGTGTGTGTGTCTTTGCCACAAATATGACTTTCTGCCTCTCGTTTTCTTTCTAGTCATTGTGCATCGGCAACAACATTGACTGATTATTAAAAGGATAGAAATCTGTTTCTCTCTAATCTTGAATAACAAGACTTGAAAGGAAAATAGACAGACTGACATCATTATACACAAGCCAATAATGTGTTTCTATAAATCCAACTGTGAGTGCATATATATTCTTAAGACTATCAACCATTCTGCTAGCATACCAAATCATAACTGAATTGTTGCTTCTAAGAATTATACTAGGGGTAAGTTAATCAAGTCAAGTGAAGTACATTGACATAGCAAAAGTATACCATCATTGGTCTCTCAATAAACACTAATGTAATTTGGAAGCATTGAATATATACATGTATTTTAATAGATAGATCGTGCCCTCTATATAGGTACTACGATACAGAAATAGAATATATATATATATATATATTCATTAAGTCAATTGATAATGACAGAATATACGGAAGCTGGTCAATATCAATTTCTGTTTATGTAACATAACTAAATATCCCTGATCTTGTTCTAATATATTATTATGAGTTGAGAAGAATATTCTTTTTATAGTAAATTCTTCCTAATAAAGAGTGACATAAAGAATCATGTTTTTTTTAATACTATACAATTAAAAAATAAAACTTTGTTTTTGTTTTTATGTAGAAACTATCATCAATAATAATATATGATTCTAAAAAAAGATTAAATCTTTGTTTAATAAGAGTTATAGTCAATTCTGAAAACAACATTTTTTTTTTGTTTGTTTTCTTTAATCCTTTTTTCTTAACAAGGAAAAAAAAGAAAATATTTTATTAATTATAACAAAAGAAGATTTCATTTCATTGAATTATTTTGTCATATTTGACATTTCAATTATAGAATGAAAGGAACGAATTGAATACAAAAAGAATTTCGATGTGTCTATATTGAATTATCTTTCTATGAGTTAGAATATAGATTAAGAGTGATTATTGGTCACGATTTTCTGTAATTGCTCTTAAACTAATCGAATACACAAAATATTTCTTCTTTATCATGCAAAAATATTTCTTTTTTTTTCTTCTTTTCTAAGTCATTTTCGTAACGTGTTCCATAAGTTTGGATTTCATTTCATTTTTTTTTTTCTTTTTTTGTATATCTATAATCCCTAGAGGTAGATCATTATTTGAGATATGATATTTAAAAGTAATATTAAGCTAAATTACACTTAATCTATGTCGATAGTCAAATTATGTTAGATGAGTAAATAGATTAAAAGAATATTTTAAATTTATTTTTACTTTTGTTTAATTTGTGTGGATAAAAATAGTAGTCATTGCTTGATGAACTTATTATAATTTATTTTTGTTATTCTATTATTATTGAGTTTAATTTTCAACTAGATTTAACTACTCTCATTTATATTTTGAATATACCAAAATAAAATTGTAAAAATTTTTCTTTTTTTCAAGGCTTGATAATTTAACATTCTCTTACGATAGATACAGACAACGTGTTGTTCCTTTAGGGTGATATCTAAATGCCATTCTTTGCGAATATATATATATATACATTTAATGCCTATGCGCCTTCAGACATTACTCAAATATCAAAAGAAAACAAAGAGAATAGGGTCGAGAATTACTAGAAACCCTTCATCACTATAGTATAATAGAACATGTAAAAAAAACGCTTCCTGATATATCTTAACTTGTGTTATTTTTCCAATCTTGAGAAGGCAATGTGAACAGATGCATAGAAAAAAAAACGATAATGAAATCAAAGTTCATAAATCGAAATACATTTTTTTAAAAGACATTATTCGCTATCATAATATTTCATGTGAAAAATACAATTGTCAGACGTATGTGTCTATTAGTTGAATCAATAAAATAAACGACGAATTTACAAAACCAATGAGGGCTTCTTCATTGTATCTATCAATCCATCTCTCTATCTCGTTTACATGTCGACAGTCATAATAATATGAGTACATAACTAGTCGACTTGTGCACACATCAGAAAGAAAGTGAGAAAAAGAAGATGGAGCTTTTCTACTAACAGTTAGAAAAGTCTAAATTGGATTATTATCGACTGCTACAAGTGTAAAGAAGAGCGAGAAAAAGACAGAAGAAAAGCAAGTAACTAAAATACATTATAACATATTCTCATGTGTCAAATATGGGCGATGAGTAATTTATTTCAATGAGACATTTATCGTATTAGCTGATCTACGAGTACGACATACATATATAGTTAACATAAAGTGAAAATGTGCGCGGTTGAAATACATAATTAGGTAAAAGTATACAATAGATTATTTATTTATACGGAGGGAAAATTGATCAACGTTTTTTCTTAATATCTTTATTACAAAGTAATTAAAACCTAGAATGCTTCTTATTTGGAAAAAGTATTTAAAGTTGTTCTTTTGAGAAAAGTGAAAGACATTTTTTTTTAGTTTTTTTCTCTCTATTTCTTTGTGTTTTATCACACAATATATATATATATGTGTATATTTAGACATATTTAGATATTCCATAGAACATTTCACATCTCTATCTATTCAATGTCATCAATCTATTCTATTCTATTCATTTCTTTTTTTAATACTTGTCTAAAGAAAAATATTATCATCAAGATCTGGTTTGTTATTGAACAAAGGGAAACAAGACAATGTGATAAATGAAGATGTTTAAATAGGCAAAGTTTGTGTTTATTAAAACTAATTCGATTTAATCATGTAGCATAAGTAGAAAGAGTCTCTTTTTTATCGCAGCATAAAAATGCATTATGACGATAACGGTTAACTTGTTTGCACATTTTCGTCTTTTCTTTACCGTTAACATAGGATTTCCGCTTGATTTTAATATACTAAAAAAAAAAAGGACATAGAGACGGAAGGAGAAACGAGAAAAAAAAGAAAACAGATATATGCTTTCCGTTTTTTTTTTTACTTCTGTTTAACTCCCACGAGAAAAGTATGCCTGTGGAAATTTTCATTAAATAGGATTGATGCTCATTCTTCTGATGTTAAGTGCACAGAATAAAAAAAATAGGAGAAGTTAATCAGCCTTGTCAAAGGTTATATTACCACTAGAGTGATGAAAAAATGAATATTTAATAAAAAAAAAGAGAGACAAAAAAGAAATCTCTAACATTAACGAAATTTCTCGATTTCTTTTTTTTTGTTTTGTTTTTTTTTTTTTTACTTCAAAATTTTACTTTTACAAAACGTAAAAAGTAAGAAGATAATACTAAGACTTTTATTTTTTTTTATTATTCTTTAGATATAAATGACGGTTATGTAGGTTATCTTAGTGATGGCTAATATTAGTACTAATAATAGTACTACTATAAATAATAGTAGTAATGAAACAAATATGATTATTTATGTATGTATTCATTTGGTAATGCCATGTGCCGTTGCTATTGGAATTATTGGCAATCTTTTATCAATCTTAGTATTTGCACGCCGTGAAATGATTAAATTTTGTGTGTCTATATTTACAATTGTTCTTGCACTTAGTGATATTCTTTTGTTAATCACTTCACTATTTAACATCATATTGCCTGATTATCTTGGTGGATTACTGTCAGATAAATCAGCATTCTGGTGGTAAGAAGATTTCTTTTTTTTAATTTATATGAATAAAGAAATAAAAGATTCTTAATTCAAAAAGATTAATAGATGACAGACAAAGTAATAGAAAAGAAATAAAGAAAGAAGCTTTTTTGTTTAATTATTTTATAAAAACAAAAGGTATAAAGAAAAAATGAACCTAGATTATATTAAAAAGATTTTTCTTCTAGAGAAAAATAAACGAGCGGAAGGAAGGAAATATATGTATAATATAGATAGATAATCTTGACTATTCAACAATATTTCAAGTCTTATGACATGTAAAAAAAAAAGAAAGAAAAACAGGAAAAATACTTCGAAAAAAAATGATTTAATTGTTTTTGTTTTTGATTCAATAATTTTAGCCATTTTCATGGTTATTTTGATCTATTATTTGCTGCATTAAGTGGTTATTCAGTTGTATTTATATCTGTTGAACGTTGGTTTTCAGTATGGAAACCATTTGATAAAGCAAAATATGTTACATTTAAAACAACAATCATAACCGTTTTTAGTTATACATCAATATCAATCATTGCATTTTCATGGTTTCCATTAACATTAGATTATAGTTTTGGAAAGCCTGGATCTGGCGAGCAATGTCATTTAAAACGACCTATTGTATATAAAATATTTGGAACATTCTCAGTTATTTTTACTTATATTGGTAAATGAATAATGTTATTTTTTTTGATTTTATTAAAATTTCTGTTTTTTTAGCACCATTTATTTTTCTCGGTATACTTAATATTCTTATCGTTTATCGTTTACATAATCGTCATCATACATCTATACAACGATCAGTAGCCATATCAACTAATTCAAATACTGATCCAACATTAGCTTCGGCATCAACTCGTAAACGACAACGTCAAAAAAATACAGATCGAAATATAACATTTATGTTAATAGCTGTTGCTATTGCATTTATGGTTATGTCATTCCCATTCCAGTAAGATAATGAGAAAAGCAATTTTTTATTTAACACCAATTTTATTTTTTTTTATTCTCTATAGAATCTATTGGTTCTATATGCAAATTTATCAACCGAAATCAGAAAATAAAACTTTATTTACACTAACGCAAACATTTCGATATTTTAATTGTTGTTGTAATTTTTTTCTTTATTCAGCTACATCATCATTATTTCGTCGAGAATTACGTGAAATATTTCAATGTTCAATATCAACAAGTAGTAATTCAAAAGAAATTACTCATGTACAATCAACTATACATAGTCGAACACGAACACCAACGTCACTCCCAAATTATTCAACTAATATTGATAATACATCAGTAGAAAGAAAAAAACTTTTAATAATATCATCATCAAAAATATCAACAAAACCTGTAGAAGATCTCAATCTTACAGTAGCATCCCGTGAGCCAATCAATGGTCATACTATCGCGTGTAAAACATAAATCAACGTAGCTTTTTTTCTGATATATATATATATATATATGTATGTATTATTATTATTATTATTATGAATTGAAGATATATTGTGTGCTTGTTCATTTAACAATTATATGAGACGTGTTCAAAGAAAAATTATAAAAGAAAAAAAGAAAATCAATATTTGATTTCAGTTACTGCTTGTTAATGGACGGACAAAACAGCATAAATCTGACAAAATAACTTGTCGATTATTAACATGCCAAATTAAATAAATTGTATTTTCGATGAACTCATTTTACGTTGTTGTTGTTGTTTTTGTGTCATCATTCATTGTCTAAACAGAACAAAAAAAAAAAAGTTGATTTTAATTAAATCGTATAGAAAAACAAAATTCTTATGAAAAGAAAAACAAATTTAATTCATTTTATGTTTTCTACAATAATAATAATAATAATAACAACAACAAAAAAAAACAATTTTCTAGGATGAATAATAATAATAAGAGAAATTAGATGCGATATTCTTGATATTTATTCATATAATCACATTTCGCTTGTTTCACATATTTATCTAATAATTGATACCATTCATTAATAATAGATCTATCAGCATGAGCAAAATGATAATTATGAATTGTATTTGAACCTTGTGGTTGTTCAACTGATAAAACAAGTAAATGCTTATCTTGTTGAATATTAATACCTAATATTAAATGAAGTTGTATGCGTTCTATTAGTGTATATTTATCTTTTGACATAATATTAACACTTCGATAATTATCAATAGATGAAAGAATAAGCGTGCGTTGAATATATGATGGAAATTGAATAAATATATTTTCATATTGTTGATCTTTCATTTTATTAATTAAATAAGTTATTCGTTGAATTATATTTAAACATAAATTATGTTCATTTTCAAATATAATTACTTCAAGTAGTGAATTAAAAAGACAATGAAGACGTTCATAATGATTAAGACATAGTGTACGATTAAATGATGATGATGATTTATATGGTATAAATGAATTTAAATAGATAATAAGAATAGATGATAATTTAGATGTTGAATGTATACGTTTAATATGTTTTTCTTGTTCATCATATGGTTGAGATTTATCTTTTAATAAATAAAAATAATTCCATTCTTCAGCTAGAAGTAAGTTTAACCAAAATTTATATTTTTTTTCATAACGTTCATTATTATGATTGGAAAAACAATTTGAAAAATGACGACGGTTACCAAAACATGTTGATATAGATAATTTCGATGAATTAAGTATGATATTTGAACTATTATCTGATGAAAAAGTCGTATCAATATTATGGTTTTCATAATGATGTGATGATGGATCGATTGTTTGTGAAATATTATCATATGTTCGTTGATCCTGAACATATAAGAAATGGGAGCCAATTTGAATTTATAATTTTTCCACTATCCCATTTGAGCTTGTGTATGCACGAAAGAAATATCAAATTAGCAGCACACAAGCATCATTAAGGGATGAAAAAGGATAAAGTAGTATAAATTGAAGTAAGGGGAAAAAATTTATATGTGATAAGTTCATAAAAAAAGAAAAAAGGTCAATAAAAGTATCCCATTCATTTTCTATTGACTTACTTCAAGTTCACGTAAAATTTGATCAATAAAATCTGCTGTATCACCTGATCGATAAGCATTAGCAAGACGAATGGCATCACGAAAAAGTCGAACTACATTAGTACCATCAGCAGCCGAAACATAATATAATGGCATATCATGTTTTTTTGGAAATGAAAATGATTTTTTTGTTATGTCCATAGCTGTATCAATTTTATTGACAGCACATAAACATGGAATATGTGGACGAATATCACGTAATTCAGTATACCAACGATCTAAATTCTTGTAAGTTATTTTTCGTGTAGCATCGAAGATCTAAAATAGTTTGGCCTCATGAAATTTTTTTCATAAAACATCATTTGAAACTATTTACTAAATGAAAGTATGAATCTTTTCAGAACATGTGTCATCTATGTAATTCCATCAGCTATTGATGAATTCATATTTGTGATACTAATTTTAATTCATCATCATTCAAATAAAAACTCGTTTGATTTTCGAATAGATTTAAGACCTCTTAGCAAATAATAATAAAAATTAATCTTTTGACGTGCTGTTAAATGGCGATAAAAGACTTCTACTCAATTAAATCATGATACTCAGTCATTAAGAATTCCTGTTTTTATTGACGAATATTTTCTAGTGTCATGCAACCATGTTAAAAAGGCATGATATTGCACTTAAGAGAATTATTTCTTCGTGAATAATAAATTAGAATGGCACTATGGTTACTTGATTATCGTCTGATTTTTTTTTTTTTTGAATTCTTTCCAATCAAAACAAAAAATAAATGCGAAAACATCGGATTTAAATCCGAGTGTTATGTGTACTTCAAAAAGTGAACAGGTATATTCACTTTGTTTTTTATCATCTGAGACAATATCTACCCTATTTGCTTTCTCAACTGTAGTTTTTATGCATTTTGAGCCTTTTTCGGGGGATTTTTTGTTAGAAAGCTACAATTTGATTCAAAACTAATATCAGATTCGGAATCAGCGTTAAAAACTGAGTCGATAGATATATGTTGTGAATAATTCGGAGAAAAAAATTTTTTTTTGAAAAAATCCCTGTACCCCTCCTCAGGGATGGTCTTCTCAACAATGACAATTTTTTCTATAACTCAGCCATTTCTTGACGGATCCTGCTCATCTTCGAACTCGACCGAGACATTGTTAAGACTGAACTGTGTAGAAAATTTCATCGTGATCGGACTCTCCTTTCGAAAGTTATCGTGTAAACGGCCGGACGGCCGGCCGGCCGGACATACTGACCGATTCTAGAGTGTACTCACTTTTTGAGTACACAAAAAGAAAGTTATAAACAAAGATCATAAAAATTAGAAAAACTTAAAATATAAATTTACGGATTTATAAATATTTTTATATTTAGGATTAGCCAGAAGTAAATATAAAGATAAGAAGATATTTTTTTAATTTTATTTTATCAAATGCTGAGGATAATTGCCATTATTATTTATACTAAGTTCAATTTCTTCTAATATTCTATTACAAATTTTTTTTAAATTGTTTTTCTGAAAAAAATTTTTAGTTACCTTGGAAACTACATGAGCTTAATCATGTTTCATTTGTTTTGGAATTTTGTTAGATCATGTCAGTTGCGTTCTAGTACTACTAGTGATGAGATATGAATTTATATTAGTTAGATTACTCATAAGTCATCTGACGTTAGCGGGCTTATTGAAGATGGATCGTTCAAGACTATTGTTCATGGAAACAGATTTGAATCAAAACTTTGTTTCATATATTCTTTAAATCAACTAGTCCGGAGTGTAGATAAAGGCAAGACTCTAGGTCACAAGTATTATAGTGAAAATTGTTAGGCGGCTTTTTTTGACGTACTGTCGAAACACCCAAAGACATCAAGTTGAAAATCGCTTGACGATCATTGTTGACTTCATACTCGTCTAATGTTATTAATTATTTGACAGAAAGAGGCATTAATATAATGTCACATCCGCCATATCTAATACTACACAATCTTTGAATTCTATTGAACAAAGTTCGACTGATTAAATAAATGAAATATGATTAGCTCATGTAGTTTTTAAGGTGACTAAAACTTTTTGAGAAAAACAATTCAAAAAACAAAGAACTTGTGATAGATTGTTAGAAGAGATTTAACTTGGTATAAATTATAATGGAAACTATCCTGAACATTTATATAAAATCAAATTAAAAATATCTTATGTTTATATTGTTATCAGAATTTTTGGTTAAGTCTAAATACATGAATAATCTTCTTTTGAAAATGATATAAAAGAAAGATATGTGCACTGAAAATAAATACGATTAAAATTTTTCTTACGATTCCCAATTCACTCCGTGGTCGATCTTAGTTTATATGTCCTGAGAATAAGATAGAGCAAAAAACAAAAAGAATTCTCTGTGATGGTCTCTATTACATATCACAAAAAAGAATAACAATCGCATTTACATACCATAATACAAGCATGTGCTTGATGAAAATATGATTGATGAATATTATCAAATTTTTCTTGGCCAGCTAGAATAAAGAAGAACTTTTTCTTAAATAAAATAATAATAATATTTATGCAGAAAAACCTGTATCCCAAAATTCAACTTCCATTGGTTTTCCATCAATTTTTGCTGTATGTTTAAAAATATTGACAGCAAATGTTGAATATCGTGCTCCAACACTAAATAAATAATATAATTTCATTGAAATAAAATTATATTTGAAAAATAATAAACATAACTTACTAAGAATTAACAAGAAAACGTTCTAATAATTTCGATTTACCAACAGCACTATCACCAAGTACGATGATTTTAAGAGAATTATTATTACTTGTATTGCTACTTGAAGTTGATGATAATGATACAGATTCAGTCATCTTAAATAAAAATATTAAAAGAATATTTTTTTATCAAAATCTATTAGAATAATAAATATTATTTACAATTTTAATAAACTTAGGAATTGATTTATGTTTACATGTCAATTTATATTTTAAAAAGAAAATTTATTGAAACAAAATATATTTACTTAAATGCAAAATAAAATTTTGCATAAAAGAAAAACTAACAAAAAAATTCGATTTAGAAAAATTTCTTACAAATTCCAATGTTTATCAACAAGAAATTTAATATAAAACAAATGTAAAATTGACAAAAAAAAGAAAAAAAAGAATTTTAAACATCTAAATTTTATTTTCTTCACCAACAACTACAAATCATAGATGACGCTAGTCTGATTTTTCAGTTGTTGAATCTTGTATAAATTGTTATTTTTATTTTTTCAAGTCAATAGTTTAAATATTTATTTTTTAAATAATATTAAAAGGAAATATTTCATTCATTTATCTTAGTTTTCATTGGTTTTTGAGAAAGTATTTTCTTTTGAATGAACATACTTATTTGATTGTCAGTTCTTTCGTTCTATTGATGTGTTCCGAAGAACGGGAATAAAAAACAGAAAAACAATAATCAGTAGTGTAATTGTCTGACGGAGTGCAGCAAATAGAATGACATTCGCCATTTAATTGTTCAAAAGACAAATTTTCTTTTGTGATCTCATCCATGTTCGTATCTTTCTTATGTACTGTCTATTCTAATCAACATTCTATTATGTTTTGATCATTATTATTTATCAATCATAAAGAAATGGATGATATAAATGAAGCAAATATTAATATTGACGGTAAAATATTTATTTTCTTTTGTCTTTTGATGTGTAAAAATAATTTATTTAAGAACAAGAAGAAGTTCGTCAAAAACTTTTATGGAACGTTAAACGAGAAGTTTGTATATAATAATAGAAAACTATGCATTATTAATTATTATATTTTTTTAGGTCAAACAAATGATGGAAGAAGCTGTTATGAAAAAATGTATTCACGAAGAAAATTGTAGTATAACAACACTTTGTGGTTTGTTGATTTACTTTATTTTATTCTAATAGTAATAATTTTTTGTTGTCGTTTTATTTTAGCTGCTGTTGAAGCATGTCTTTTACATGGTCTTAAACGACGAGCTGTTGGTTTATTTAAAACAAGTACAACAACGGCACTTTTACAAAAACTTGCTAAAACTTGTCCAGCATCTGCTGAAGTTGTCAAAATTATTAATGATGATAATCGACAACATGGTCAATCAAGCAGTTTACTTGGTTTTTCAAAGTAAAAGAAAGTTAATTAATAAACTTTATTTAATATTTTTTTTTCGCTAAAGAAAATTGTCCAGTATAACACAACAACAAACAGCATATTCTGAAGATTCTCGACGTCGATCGACTCGTTCAGTAGTATATAATAGATATTTATGGATACGTACAGCACTTATTCATCGATCATTGCATAAAATTGTTGAATATATTGTTACCAATAGTTCGTATGTATTCTAAATTTGTTTTTTTTATTTCTTCGTTTATATTTTGCTATTTTATATTTTCTAGAAAATATTACGAACCATATGCACTTGTTTGCGATTCTGTACAAGGACCTATTTTAGCTTCTCTTCTGGGTAAATATTTAAAAAAAAAAATACAAAATCTATTTTATTTTTGACTAATTGTTTTGTTTTTTTTTTTTTTTTGAAAAAATAGTTGGCCCATGTGCACTTGAATTTACCCGAGTGAAAACATCTGATCATTTATGGACAGATCCACATGCTGACGAACTTGTTCAACGTCATCGTATGCATAGTAACAATCGAACAATGGTTAATCCAACAACAATGATGGTTAATATGAATAATGTATATTCAATAAAACATCGACCAAGTTTACAAATAAATGTAGCTTAATCTAATATATTGTTGTTATCTTTTCTTATTTTATTATAAATAATTTATTTGTTGTTTAGTTAAAACGTAATGTGAGTTCATCAAGTGAAGAAGCGCAACGACATAATCAATTAATGTCAATTAATCCAGCTCGAGATTATGTTGAATCGCTTCATCAAAATGCTAAATCACAATTAATTTATGGAAAAAATAATGTTTTTGTACAACCGGTAAGGAAAAACAAAATCTTTTTTTTTTTTGTGTTTCTTTTTCTCTACTTAAACTATTTATCTTTCTTTTTAAGGCTCCTAATCATGAGCCAATACCTGGTTATTTATCTTTACATCATAATCATCATGGTTTAACAATAAAATGGACACCAAATCAACTTATGAATGGTTATAGTGAAAATACAAAATCAGTACAAAGTAATACACAAGAAGCAAATGAATCAGAAACAAATATTACAACAGAATCACCGAAAAAATACAGGTTTATTGAAGCTTGTTTTTTTGTTTTTTATTTAAAAAATTTTTTCTTTTAGTGTTTATTGGGATTATGCAATATCAATAAATATGTCTTCGATTGTTTATCTTCATTGTCATCATCATGGTAGAAAATAAAAAATATTTTTAATATTGATTTTTTAATTTTACTTTTTAAGTTGATGGTGATCGTATTGTATTTGTTGGTCGTGATGGTGTACAATATCCTCCGTTTCATATAAAAGATAAAGGTGGTCATTTATTAGCATTTCTTACTTGTTTGGAAAGTGGTCTTGCACCAAATGGTCAACTTGATCCACCATTAGCATATGAGAAAGGACAAGGTTAGTTCAATTACTTTATATGTTGAGTTTTACAACAACAAAAAATTGAATATCACTACTCGATGAAGCTAATTTATTTTTTACATGATAAAGGAGACTTCAGAGTTTTTTTTCTACAAGAGCAACATTTATAAATATTGCTTTGAACTATCATCATTGGATGAATTTCTATCTTTTATAGTGTTGAAGATAATCCTAACAGATCCATATATTTATAATTCTGCCTTAAGCGAGAGTTATTTCGATTTGTCTAGTATTCATTTTCCATAGAGGTCTTGATAAAAATATATTACCAAAATTTTAGATTCATGTTATGATTGGTAAGATCATCACTTTCTTATGAAAAAAAAAACAAAACTGTGAAGTGTTTTTGCATCGTGAGGTTAGTTATGAATCATCCTGTAGAAAAAAAGAGTTAACTAATTAATTAAATTTTCTTTATATTTAATATGTTTTTGTTTCAGGAAAAGTATTACCTAAACTGCATCATCGTACAGAACGTTTACAACCTGCAATATCATTAAGTGCAAGTGACGATGATGCTAATGTACAAATGAATGTTGATACAACTGATGAAGAAACATTGTCACCAACTGGCGATTATGTTTTTCGTATTATCTTTCTTCCTGATCGTTAGTGATCTATATTGTATAGTATCTTGCTAATTGTATGTGTCTGCTTTATATGTATAGTAGTGATGTAAAGAAGGTATTTGATCAGGGTATTTTAATCTTGCAAATGACCTGCTTATGTTATGAATTTGTTTTTTCTAATTATAAAATTTTCATTGTTATGTTTAATTGTTTAGAGGAAACAATAAATAATAGTGGAAATTATCGATATCAATGGTCACCACCAGGAACAACTGATTCATCATCACTTTCTTCACAATCGTCATCATCACCATCAGCACAAGCAACAAGTCTTAGTGCACCATTACCAGCATCACCAATAGATGCATCATTTGCGACATCGGCTGTTTATGTTTCACCAACAACTGGTTTACATAAAAGTATTTCAGTTAGGTAAAAGAAAACAGTCGAATTAAATTTTGAATGTTTATTGAAATTGAAAATTTAAAAAAATTTCTCCTAACTAATTGATAATAATGATTCATGACAACAGGATTCTATCTTAGTAAAAATTTACATTTTTTTCAAATTATTATTATTGTGTACGACATTAATCATGAAAAATTCGAGTATCTATGTTGTGATACTTTCTATGAGTTATGCGCAATTCTTAATTATGTTTCGTTTATGCCCTATTTCATTGTAACATTCCTAAGTACTTACAGGAAACCTAATTATAAATCGAAGAAAAACGAAGCAGACAAACTATTTAATGAAGAAACACAATGAATAAAATCGGTTCTATAGAAAAGCAAGAGCTAGAAGGAAGGATCACAGGACTTTATGTCTATTCTGCACTAGTGAACTTGACTGGTTCCGGAAGAATAGTCCTATGCAGAGAAAGCATCACACTACGGAAAGTGAATTAGCAAATTCTAATCAGGATAGGAGTAATGAATGATGTTTGACTTTTGATCTTTTGACTTGTTTCATCTAAAAGGTGTGACCAACATCAACATTACACAGTTTATGATAACTATTCGACAAAAAATGTCTTCTAAAAATAGTGAGGAGTCGAAATCAGATGAGTTAATATTTTTTAGTCTCTCCGAGCTATATCATTTAACATAGTTTTCGAGTGAATCTTCGTTAGCAAATAAGAAAAGGTCTGCCACTTACAAGTGGAGAACGTAAACTAGCCTAATTACAACTGTAAACGTTCTTTCAAGTACTTGTTGCTGAGTGTGGCAAAGAAAGGGGAAAATCCAGAAAATGTGGGTACAGATTCAAGCTAAGAAAACATCTTCTCAATGCCTTTTTAGACACAGTTTCATCATGTCAGTTTGTAGATTAATCTTTAAATATTCTCCAGGTATCTATTCACAGTGAAATTTAACGATAGTTTACTAGTCCAGATGAATCTAAGCTACTTGAGGGAATTTACTATCACTATCCTCTAATTGAGCACATAAATATCAACTTTAGACTCTTTAATTTGGGAATAAAAAATATGTGCTACTGTCTTATCTACTCTCTTCAATTTCTAAATACTTAACTAGGAGAAAGGGATTCGAATAAAAACAAATGGTCTAAGTATGATCCTCCCAAACAAAGTACCTACACCTTTATGATATACTATAAACATACAGAAGCTTAGCTACTTTAAATAGAATACAGTTGAATTTAAACTTATTCATAGAACTGCAGAGAAGAAGAAAGTTTTCTTAAGTCTTTGATTCTATTTGAAATTCCACTATAACTCTTAATTATTTTCAAATAACTTTTCTTTTAGATCATCAATGGCATCATTATGTGATACAATGCGTCGTCAAATATTATCACGTGCATTTTATGGTTGGCTTGCGTATTGTCGTCATTTAAAAACTGTTCGTACACATTTAACATCTCTTGTTAATCCAGTAATAAAAGTGGAAAATAATGAAAAATTACAGTCAAATCTTTCTTTAACATATGATGATTGGAATGAATTATTTCTTAGTAAACAAAAAGAAAATTTACCAATTGATAAAAAAGAAATTTATCGTAGAATTTATTCCGGTGGTTGTGAACCATCAATACGAAAACAAGTAAAATTAGAAATTTTTAGTTTTTCAAATTTTTTATTATTATTTTTTTTTTTCTTAAGGTTTGGCCATTTCTTTTTTCCCATTATTCATTTGAATCAACAATTGATGAACGAAATAATATTGATCATACAACAATTGAACGATATAAATCATTAATAAATGAATGGCATAGTGCCGAAGATATTGTTATACAAATTGATCTTCAACATACAAATCATCGTAAAAATACTTTAACAAAATTATTAAATTTAGCTTCTGAAACAAATCATATTTCAACGGAAACAACATTAACATCAATTAAAAATGTTCTTGCTAGTATACCAGAAAAAATTTCATTTGCTCGTCATAATATTCTTGAAAGAAAAGATTCAAACATATCAAATGATGTTTTTTTTGAAGTAAATTTCTTATCAGGAGAAAATTATTTATTTTTCTTTATTTGTTTTTAGGATTGTGCTATACATACAGAAGCTTAGCTACTTTAAATAGAATATAGTTGAATTTAAACTTATTCATAGAACTGCAGAGAAGAAGAAAGTTTTCTTAAGTCTTTGATTCTATTTGAAATTCCACTATACCTCTTAATTATTTTCAAATAACTTTTCTTTTAGATCATCAATGGCATCATTATGTGATACAATGCGTCGTCAAATATTATCACGTGCATTTTATGGTTGGCTTGCGTATTGTCGTCATTTAAAAACTNATCTAGTAGAAAATCGTCAAAAAGATGGTGGTTTATGTTAACGTTCTGATCATTGATATAGGAGGTTGCAATTTTTGATCATCAACGATTTCTAATCTTTGTTACAAAATTTATATACTAGCGATCGAAACGAATGGCAAAAGTTGAATTCAAATTCCATTCTATTTGCCTGTAACTCAATTCGATTTTATTCTATTTGAAAACGACGAAATTCAATCCGATTTAATTCAACTTAATTCGATGAAGACAGTTTCAAAAAAGATATTGCGTACATTTAGGCAACATCTATTTTCTCACAATATCGTACTCATATGAGAAAAATATCTCGAGATGCTCTCATGAAGCATGTCATTTTACTATTTAAGCTGACGGTTACTTGTATGGATATAACTTACTGTCGGCCTAACTTTAGTGCGATATGTTTTTCTCTAAATCGAAAAAGAAACTGCACTGTTACAGAGGAACAATACCCTTTACACTTATTGCTCTAAGAGAAAGTAAATCAAAAGGTGTACATACTCTAATGTGGCTCAGCTGTAGATGCATTTCCTGCCTTGTCTTGATTTTCTCTTGCATTTTCGGCCTTTTTATTATGATCTTAAATACAAAACATATACTATATCTCTATAAGTTTCTTTGTAACTTAACATGTTGAGAGAACTAAAACAGTTCTATTGCTATTTTAAATCCATAACTGTCCATGTTATAACAGTTAACAGCCTAATTATAATTCATTCTTGCTTCTCCACTAAGCTGGAAATAAAAAAAGTAGTGAATTGTCGGGCTCAATTAGTCTCATTTGTTTACTCATATGCATTTCATTGTGATGGTATCCTCGATTAAGCTGTAATTAATTTGGACAATTAAAACACAAATTATCTCAAAAAAACAGTATAGTTTATTCTATTTTAAATTTAAAATTAATCAAATTGCTTATTTTAATACTATGACTGTTCTGAGTGTTTATTGTCTTGTCGATCACTAAAAAGATATTATTGGCACCCATATATAACAGAAATAATTCTAGTTGATTCTAATTCAGCGCCTGATTCCTACATAATTCAGTATTTTTTCCATTGTTGTCACAAAAAAAATAAAATTTTTCTTATATTTAATGCGATTTTCATTTTATACAATTTATTTTTATTTTCAACAATACTTAAGTTTGTTGATATTATCCTGCAAGAAATTAATAATTACGAGGCTTTACCTAGTGACAACGAATATAATATTTAGAAGCGATCGTAGAAACGCTTCCAAAACAATATTGATTACCTAGACAAGATTTGAGATTTGATTAAACGAAGTAAGCGAGAGATAATGATATAATATTTAGGTACTCATATTTACAAGCAGCCGCCAGATTCTAGTAGAATCCATCAGGATCCAAAAAGAGCCATCAGGATCCAAGAGGAGCCGCTAGGATCCAAAAGAGTCGCCAGGATCCACAGAATCCACTAGGAGCTGCCAAGATCCACCAAGAGCCGAGGATCCAGGAGCCGCTTTTTCTCCCTTGGTAATAGATCTTATCAAGATGTAACACATGATTCGTTAGAATAATATTCGAAAATTTTATTATCATTCAAAATTAAACTGATTATGTTTATCAAATATATTTGAAAAAAAGATGTTCAACAATCACTTAATCAATTACATAATCGATTAGCTTTTCAACAAGTAATGGAAGTTATGAAGATACACGACATCAAGCTATATCAAAAACATCTCCAGCTATCCATTAAGAGATT